TCAAATCTGACCTCAGACACATAACACTTACTAGCTGTGTGACCCTGGGCAAGTCACTTAACCCCATTGCCTAGCCAAAAAAATAAAAAAATAAAAAATAAAATCATTTCTATCTCTAGGCAGGAGCAACTGAGGGAGCCCTGAATTATTCATCTGCTGGTCAGACCCCACCCAGCATTATTGGTCCCAGGCCATAGGGTTCCTGAGTTTCCCTGACTGGGTTCTGATTTGGCTACCCTGTGCTTAAGTCCACCCCCTGTAATCCATTTCTTCAGCTCAGGTGACCAGCATCCTTCCTAGTGTCTGTCCCTTCAGTCCCTTTGAATTTTTCCATAAACCTGTGTCCCTAAGACTAATTACCTGGTATTTGTGGCCAGCCTCTTCAGCACTGACCATCTTGTCCCCTGAACTTCTGCTGGTGTGCCTGCTTTGATACACACTGGATTTTAAACTGTTTGAGCCTTTCATTTCCAGTACTCACACCCTTCCTGTCCCTCTGCCCTGTAGATCAATAGCCCAGTCTTTTACATATCTTAGGAGTAATATCTCTATGTGCTCATTCCCAGAATAAGTAGCTCCCAAACCTGTGAGCCCACTTCGATTTCAAATCCCACCCTGGCTGTCACCAGAGCCCCCATTACAGTATAACTATTAAGATAGCTAATCATAATCATTCAACGAACACCATCTGAAAAGATACCAAGATAAAAGACCAGAGATAGGTGGCTCGTTGAGGGCCTTGGGAGATCCTGCAAGATGGTGGGACACGAGGGGCAAAAATAAAATGTGGTACATCAAGAAAGATCAAGAAAGTGGCCATCTAACCAGGTCTGAGGTCAGAAAGGTCTGTTTGGTTTTTTGTCTCAATGTGGGGTGTGTCCTTTTGTGCCTTGGCACGAAAGACTAACCTTACCCTCTGTTGCTCTGAAAAAACTTCAGCTGTGTGAAACTGGTTAGCACCAGTTTCTCATATGGGAAACAGCAATATCCTGGCAGTGGTGGATGTCATCACGGTTCAGCTTCCAAGGGATCAGAACTGGCGGGTCACCCTGAAACCAGATCAGGCAGGCAACACCTCATTGCTGACCATAACAAAGATGAAATACCTCTAATGCCATGTCATTGTTTGACCACCAGGCAGTATGTGGTGGTTGCTTCAACAGCCAGAGTCCTCACCAAAGACCCTGGAACCAGAGTTCAATCCTCATGCAAGATGTACAGTATCTGTACAGAACACTGCCCGATGTGTGTGCTGTATTATGTTTTGCGTCAAGGCCCGTTTCGGCCTGCTGGCAGCTGTTTTTTCTCATGATCCTTAATACCGTTGGGTAATCAAAGGGAAGCCATTCATTTTCCTTTTGTTTTCTTATACATTCCCCACGAGGTCTGAGAAAAGGGAAAAAACTTTGTTACCCTAACAGCAGTACTCATGGTTTCCACTTTCTCATACCCCTCCGTTTCTCAACTCCTTGCAATCTGGCTTCTCATGTCACCACCTAACTCAATCTGCCAGTGCTCTCAATTACTAAACCCAATGGCCTTTTCTCAATCTTTGGCCTTCTTGAACTCTGAAGCTTTTGACACTATTGCCCATTCCCTCTTCCTGGATCCTCTTGTCTGTGGGTTTCCATGACAAGCCCCCTCCCTTCCTGATCCTCCTCCTCTCTCACTGCTCCTTCTCACTCTCCTTGGATGGGTGTTCATCCATGTCCAGACATCCTTATATGAGGGGAGAATGGAGCCTAGATGGGATTAATTTGGGAAGTGGCCTGGGACCATAGGGAGGTAAGACAATGGAAGGCTAGGTTAGGTTAAGGGTAACAGAATTGAGACACCCCTCATATGAGGGTGTCTCCCAGGGCTCTGTCCTGAGCCTTCATCTACTCTGCATACACTTTCTTGGTGACCTCATTGGATCATAGCCCTCAAACTGGAAGGGACCTTAGCGTCCACCTAGTCTTGGGTCCATGATATTGTGGCTTTAAAAAAAAAATTCTGATAACTATTTCAAGATAATTGGTTTCCTTTGTAATCCATTTTATATGATACATTTCATTTTATGCATCTAAAAACATGATTCTGGGAAGGGGTCCATAGGCTTCCCTAGACTATGCAAAGGGTTCCAGGATACCAAAAAGGCCCTGCTCTGGTCAACTCCACATTTTAGAAGTGAGAAAACTGAGGCCTAGGAAAGTGAACTGACTTGGTCAAGGGCATTCAGATAGTAAATATCACAGGCAGGATTCCAACCTAGGTTTTCTGAATCTCTGGTTGGTACACTTCCCCTTATACCACACTGCTCATTGGCTCTCACAGGTTCAATTTTCATCTCTACGTAGACGACTCCCAAATCTAAATCAGCCCAGCCTCATCGCCAAATGCCTGCTGGACATTTCCCCTTGAATACTCTCTGAATACTCAACCTGAACCGATACAAAATGGATTTCATTAGCTATGCTGCCTCCCCGCCTCCTCCTACCCCCTTAACAATTCCTAAATTGGAGAAGCATCACGGAATAGTGGAGGGCTGGAATTAGTGTCTTGTGGACTTGGCCTTGATGTCTGTCTCTGCTTCTTACTACCTATGTGAACTTGGACAAGTCACTTAAACTAGGACTCTGAGCCTCAGTTTCTCACCTATAAAATGAGGAAGGTTGGACTTGGGTCCCTTCTGTCTCTAAATCTATCATCCTACTTTCTATTAAGAGTACCATTATCCTCCCAGTCACACAGATTCCTAATTTTGGAGTCACCCCTGACTATTCACTCCTCCACCCCCCAATAGTCAATCAGTTAACAAATTTTGATTCCACCTCCACAATTCTCATCCAACTGCTTCTCTTGATTAACATGGTCTCTACCCTAGTTAAGTTCTTTATTACACTTCTCCACCAGACCACCGAAATACCCTAGCTGGCTTCTTCTCACCTATCCCTCTAGCCCATTCTTTGTGACTGCCAAATAGATACAACTAAAGCACAGGCTTGACCATGTCACTGACCCTCTCAAAATTCACTGGCTCTTCAACGCCCCTAGGGCAAAGGATCACGTTCTTTACTTGGAATTTAAATCCCTTATAATCCAGTTACAATCCATCTTTCCAGACTAATTTCACATGACTCCCCCTCATGAACTGTTCCCTATATGTGATGTTCCACCTCTTGCCTCATGTCTTTGCATTCTCACCTTGATCTTTTCTTAAGTCAGTCAACAAGCATTTTATAAGAGCATATCAAGCGATGGAGATACAAAGAATGCCCCCACCACCACCAAAAAAAAGTCCCATACCAGTCCCTACTTGCAAAGAGCTCAAAGTCTAACGGGGGAGACAGCAGGAAAAGAACTACAGACAAACAAGACTTCTTATAGGTGAACTTTTAGCTGGGACTTGAAGTCAGGAGACAGAAATGAGGGAAAGAATTCCAGGCAAGGGAGACAGCCAGTGAAAGCGCTCAATCAGGAGACTGTCCTGTTTCAGAAGAGTGAGGGTAGGGGCAGCTAGGTGGCACAGTGGATAGAGCACCGGCCCTGGATTCAGGAGGACCTGAGTTCAAATCCGACCTCAGACACACAACACTTCCTAGCTGTGTGACCCTGGACAAGTCACATTGCCTTAACAAAAGCAAAAAAAAAAAGAGTGAGGGTAGTATAAATGGCTTGCAGAACGTGTGTGGGGGAGGCGAGAGGTGTAAGAAGACCAAAAAGGTCAGGGGCCAGGATATGAAGGACTTTGAACATCAGAAGTTTTTATATTTGATCCTAGAGGTGCTAGGGAGCTAATAGTGTCGTGTGTGTGTGTGTGTGTGTGTGTGTGTGTGTGTGTGTGTGTGTGTGTGTGTGTGTGATGGTCACACCTGAGTAGAGACAAGGCTGGGATACCAACCAACTGCCTATTTCGATAGTCCAGATGTAGGTGATAAGGACCTGCAACAGGATGGCAGTGTCAGAGGAGAGGGTGGAGGTGGTATGGGAGAGCTGTTATGAAAATAGAAACAACAGGAACTGATAACCGGTTGGATACGGAAGATGAGAGTGCAAAGTCCAGGATACACTTAGGTTGTGAGTGTGATTGACTGGGAAGATGGCGGTACCCTTTAGAGTAATAGGAAAGTTAGGAAGAGTGGAGGATTTGGAAGGAAAGATGAATTCAATTTTGGAAATGTTGAGTTTAAGATGTCTATTGGACATCATCTAGGAATAGATGTCCAACAGACAACTGGAGGCAAGACTAGAAGTTAGCAGGAGTGAGGGCTGAAGAAGGTCTAAGAATCATCAGCATAGAGAGAATTGAATCCATGGGAACTGATAGGTTCATCGAGGGAAATAGTATGGAGGGGAGAAGGGGGCCCAGGACAGAGACTTGAGGTACACTCACGCTAGTGGTTGTAACCTGGATTCTTACCTCAGCCTCTAAATGAAGCCTCTTCTGATGCCCTTCCCTTTGTCAGTGCTTTCCCCACCTTCAACTCCAAATTTACCTGGTATATATTCTGCATTTACCCCCCAGTAAGCTCCTCCAAGGCAGAGACCGTTTTGTTTTTGTATCCCTAATACCTTGCCAATCACAGGCATTTACAGTGTTGACTTAAGCAGGATATTAGAGCCCTGGGACCTACGTTCCCTTCAATCCTAATTTGTTACTTAAGATCTCTTTCCTAAAGAGTGAACAGCGACCTTCAGTGGAAGCTTGATGGAGGAGGTGAAATGCGTGAGGCAGGCCTAGAATAGAATGGAATCCCCTTCATATACCACATTCATGCCATTTCCCAGACTTGTAATGCCTTTGCCAAATTAGATGTAGCCTTCTAAGTTCAAGTTGCTTCTCCCCTTGCCCACTGAACTCATTAGCAACTTACAATCTATACCACGCAGTACAGCATGAATGCCATCTGGACAATGGTGGCTGTGTGTCTCAGCCTGGATAAGCAGGGTTCACAATTAGCCCCTTGGAAGATGACACCTGGATGGTATGGTCTAATGACAAAACTTCTGGCCATCAGCACTGGCATTAAACATTTATTGTGCATCTGTGTGGGGGGCACAGTGCGAAACCCTGGGGATATAGAGAGGGATAAGAGCAGATATTTTACCTTTGTGGGGTGTACAGTCAAGTTGGAAAGACAATACAAATACCACCTTACATTTGGGTAGCACTTCACAGGTCACAAGATGTTTTCACATAGATCCTCACAACAACCCAGTGACAGGCAGGGCAGGTAGCATTATCTCCACTTTACAGACAAATAGACTTGAGGATCAGAGAATATTTACCCAAGGTTACATGGCTAGTAAGCGGCAGGGCCAGGGCACATACATTAATAAATCCAAAATACAAGGTAGCATATGTTAAGTGCCAAATAAATAATACAAACAATAGTAGCAACACAGACTCTCACAAGTGTAAGAGCCACTTTGTCTAAGCCATATGTGAACAGGAACTGTCCCTACAACATCCCTGATGAGCAGTCACCTAGCCTCGACCTGAAGACCTTCAGTGACAGGGGACTTACTGCTTGTCTGCAGTAGGTGCCACAGGAGTTCAGGGTGATACTAAGTGTGGGAGTGGTTGGGGCAGATTTAATGGAGGATGCTCTAGCCCTTGAAGGGTGGTATCTAAATAAGCTGAATAAAAGGGAAAAGGCATTTCAGGTAAGAGAAACAGTATGGGCAAAGGCACAGAGGCGGGAATTCAAATAGCTTCCATTTGTATCGTTCTTTCAAGTTTACAAAGCATTTTCACATGCTCCAAAAAAATCCCTGATTAAGACAGGGCAGGTTCTTCTAATCCCTATTTTACAGATGAGGAGACTGAGGCTGAGAGGTGAAGTGAATTACCTAACGTCACAAAGCTAGGAGGTGGACAGGATTTGACACTAGGCCTTTGGCCTCCAAGAACGGTTAAGTTCTGCTGAGGGAATCAAGTGGAGGCCAGCTTGGTTAAAGAGTCTAGAGGAGTGTCCCAGAAGCCACTAGGCCAAAATGTAAATCAACAAGAATCCCCTCTGAGAAAGCCTCCAATGAGGAAAACCCATCACCTGGAGGTGATGCCCTTCCACTGCTGGGTAGCTTTTTCCTTACATTAAGGCCAAATCTGCCTCTGCAACGTCTACCCGGTTCCTTCTGGTTCTGTCCTTCAGGGCTAGGCAGAACAAGTGAAATCCCTCTTTCACAAAATAACTCTTCAAATACTTGAAAATAGCTATCCTGTCCCCCCCCCCAACTCTTCTATTTTTCAGGCTAAACACCTGCACTCAGGTAACATACGTCCTACTCCTCTCATCATCCTGGTCACCCTCTTCTAGACATACTCTTATGTGTAGTAGCAGAAGAAAAGGTTTCAGAGGTAGACAGGGGCCAGATTACCGAAGGCATTTTATGACAGGCTATGACAGCTGGATTTAGTCAGTATGGAACTGAACAGCATTACACTGATTTGTAAGAATGAAGACCCACAAAGTTGGATTGGATAAGTGAGGAAATTAGGAGCATAAATTGTATCACAAAGGGCATTAGCCACGAGTCAGCAGCTACTGTAGGTCCAATTACGCAGCAAACCAGACATGTTTGAATTCCATGAGCACTCGATGGGAAGAACATGAAAAGAAAAGCTTTAGAATCATAGGCTTCTCAATTTAGAAGCAGAAGAGGCCTTGGAAGCCATCTAGGCCAAGTAAGGCCCTGGAGCTGAAAGGGATTTGCTAACTGCCAGGATTAGAACTCATGCTCTTTAACTTGAAATTCAGCTACGCTTCCTGTGGCACAATAGAAGGTTCTTAGAGGGGACACACAAGAGGGAAATACCTGCCTGAGTCCAAAGGCCCCTTCCCTAAGCCTTGGTTCCTGTTGGATCTTCTGGGCAGCCTACCCTCTAGTCTAGAACACGAAAGGGGTGCTCAAGTCAAGAACTCTCTTTCCTCTCCACAGTAAAGTCTGGTAGAAAGCACAAAAAAGAGACTTCGACTTGACTCTTGCCTGACACTAGCTATGTGACCATGGACAAATCACAAGCTCTCAGGGTCTGTTTCATTTGCAAAATTGAGTTAACACCTCTAGAACTCTACCTCACAGGGCTGTCGTGAAATTTAAGAGATAATATACATAAAAGTGCTCAAAGTATTATATCATGGGTGGCTGTTATTACTAGAGGGAAAAAGCAAATTACTGCTTTTCCTGTCCTTGGATTAAAGCAAACTCAACGTCCTTTTCTTTTCCAATCCTCGATCTCAACTTTCTCTCAATACATTTTGTCTGTCTCTAAAAATACTCTGCCTCTCTAAAGTAACCCTGGGCATCACCAGCTCAGTAGATCTAACCAAGGCTGTAATCAGCCCGAGTGAAGCATTTGTATTTGGAAGTAACCAGAAATAAAGCTGGATAGGCAGGGTGGCGTCAGCTAGGTGGTGGCCTAGCCAATCCAGCGACAATGTGGGTTCTGGAAGACATGATTAAAGTGATGATCTAGCAAAGTTAATCCAAAAGCCTTAGACAGGAAAGAGGTAAATAAAAAAAATAAAAGCAGAGCCTGGAGGCAGGAAGATGCGTTAATAGGCAATTGCTTGTGACAGATGGCCTCTGAGGGCCTCAACTATAGCATGGCAGCAGCAAGGCATGAAATTTGAATTGACATGATTGAAGGCCAATCAGCAACATAACACTGGTTTTGGTGTAAAACAAAGCAAGTCATAGATAGACACATAAGCTCACCTTCAGTACTTTTACAATACTATATGGAGTCTAGCCATAGCGTGAATTTTCTGGGGCTTGAAAAGCTACAAGAGTGACTGAAGCTTTCCTCACATTTATTAGACCCAGAATGTTACTCTTTAGGGTGGATTTTCTCATGTGAAATAAGCTCTGAGCTCTGTTTGAAGGCTTTCTCGTGTTCATCATATTTATATGGTTTCTCTCCAAAATGAATTCTTTTATGTAAAATGAGCTCTGAGCTCCATCTGAAGGCTTTTCCACATTCATTACATTTACAAGGTTTCTCTCCCCTATGAATCCTCTGATGTACAATTAGGTTTGAGGTCTGACTGAAGGCTTTCCCACATTCATTGCATTCATAGGGTTTTTCTCCAGTATGAACTCTCTGATGGGTAATAAAATGTGAGCGCAGTCTGAACGCTTTCCCACATTCATTACATTTGTATGGTTTCTCTCCACTGTGAATTCCCTGATGTATAATAAGGTTTGAGATCTGAGTAAAAGCTTTCCCACATTCATTACATTCATAGGGCTTCTCTCCACTATGAATTCTCTGATGTTGAATAAGTTGGGTAGTACCCTTGAAGATTTTTCCACACTCATTACATTTATAGGGTTTCTCTCCACTATGAATTCTCTGATGGAGAATAAAGGTTGAAATCTTATTGAAGGCTTTTCCACAATCACTACACTTATAAGGTTCCTCTCCACTATGAATTCTCTGATGTCGAATGAGGTGTGAAGCACACCTAAAGTTCTTTTCACATTCATTGCATTTATAAGGTTTCTCTCCAGTATGAATTCTCTGATGCCCAATGAGGGATGAAATCTGACTGAAGGCTTTCCCACAATCATTACATTTATAGGGTTTCTCTCCGCTATGAATTCTCTGGTGTTGAATGAGGTGTGCAGTTTCTTTGAAGGCTTTCCCACATTCATTACATTTGTAGGGTTTCTCTCCACTATGGATTCTCTGGTGTTGCTTCAGGCCTGACCTTGCTGTGAAGGCTCTGCCACATTCATTACATTCGTAAGGTTTCTCTCCGCTATGAATCCTCTGATGTACAATAAGGTTTGAGGTCTGACTGAAGGCTTTCCCACATTCATTACATTTATAGGGTTTCTCTCCACTATGAAATCTTTGATGTACAATAAGATATGAGGTTTTACTAAAGGCATTCCCACATTCGTTACATTCATAACGCTTTACTCTACTATGGATTCTCTGTCTTACAGACTCTGGATTCAGGCTAAAGTTGTGGTTATATTCATCATGTCTCTGAGTTCTCCCTCCTGTGGGAGCTCCTTCATACGGAACAGGGAAATCCTGTACTGTCAGTCCCATATGTAAAGGGAAGCTCAGACCACAGTTTCTCCTATAATCACTATATTCATGGCCTCTCTGCTCTACAGAGACTTGGTTGGGGTTTATACCCATAATGCTGAAACCTCTCTCCTGGGATAGGGTACAACTCCCTGGGTCACCTTGCTGCCTCTCTAACCTGTTTTCACATGCAGAGACATCTCCAAAGGCAAACCCCTGAGGAATGGCCCATGGGAATCCTGCCAACAAAGTCCATTGTGATGCAATGTCTTCAGACATTTCCGGCTTTGAAATAGGCTCCTCCTCGTTCTCAATCTTAATGCCATCACCTGAAATGATCAATAAAAAAAGATAAATACAGAACAAACACCACTTGTTTGCTGCACAGAGATAAAATTGCTACTCTAATCTCAATCAAAGGGAGAGTATAGAAATTTAAACTTAAAGATATATGTGTGCATATATTTTTAAATTCTTTTAAATACATATATTTAAATTTAAACATATGTATAATTTAAATGATAACATAAATAAAATCCTATTTAAAATGAGAGGAAAGAAGTGAGGAGAAGACAACCGATTACTAGAAGGAGTAAGATGCCACAGGATGGGAGCAGATAGAGAGCCAGACTTTGAATCAGGAAGCCCCTGGTTCAAGACCTGCCTCAGAGGTGTATTAGCATGCTTTATGTCACTTAACTCCTTAGTGCCCCAGGCACCTCTCTCAAATTATAAAACACAAATGAGATCTGCCTTGGAAGAGTTTCATCAACCAGCGAAATCACTGGCCCAAAAAACCCCAAAATGAACAATAAATAGTGAGTACGGAGCTCCCACAGAATGAGGAAGAAGGGTCTGAACTGACAGCGGAGGTGAGGTTAAACAAAAAATAGCCTAGGTGTAGGAACCTTTCAGGTTAACTGCTGCCTCATCTCTCCCCATATCATCTCCCCACCTCCTACCCCCACCCCTCAGAATCTATTTCCTTTTCCCAAGCTCACAAATCTTCCCCTCCAATTTTACATTTATACTAGCTACCTCGCTGGATTATTGTAAGGAAAGTGTTGTATGAATTTTAAAGTGCCACAAGTCCTAGTTCCATGCCAGCCACAGACTAGGTCTGCTGTCCAAAAACTAACCGAGTTGAGTACGGAGAAGCTCATCCCCAGTAAGGTGGGCTGCTGGGTGATGAACTTCCTGGAAACCATCATCACAAATGAAAGCATAAATTGGCCACCAAGACTGTGAAGCACAGTGACAGTGAAGAGTGGAAGAAAAGGGGGAAGAAGGTGCTAAGAACCATATTTTTTGGACTATAAACATTAACTCAGCAGCTGGTACACTAATGTACTCTAAAGAGAAAGATACTGATTCTGATGATTAACATTTCCTACAAAAGTTTAAATAATATACATAAGCTGCCAACAAGAGGCAAAAACAGCTTGGATCTAGCAGTTGCCAGCAAATCATCAGCCAAAGCCATCACTGGTTTAGAATAAAAATCAAACACACATACACACACACACACACACACACACACACACACACACACACACACACACAATTACAGAGGAGAATGGTGGAAGATGATGAGCAGTATCACTTTACAAAACAGAAAAAAAGCAGCAGAGTGGGAAATTGGCATGCATCAGTTTGACATGACAGCCAAGCCAGAGTTTTAGTTTCCTTATCTCTAAAACTGGGACGGGAGCTGGGCTTTCACCTTTATGTTCTTTTCTAGCTCTAAGCCTATCTACGACCATATGAGACATGGTTGCCACAGACACAGAGGACATCCAACACAGAGTTCAATAGAAGAGGGATCCTCTGTGTGGCCAAGTCCCCCGGAAGCTCCTGTTTGTAGATGAAGTTGTGTTAACTTATCAAGTTCTGGAACATTTTAGCCTCTCTTAACTGGTGTCATTATCATTCAAAAGGATTCAGCCTCAATTATTAACAAAGGATAGAGAATGCCTACTTTTTGTAACTATGATGTGCAGTATGAAGGACAGTCCAAAGAGCCGGTCCTGGAATTAAACAAGAGGAGGAAAGCAAGCTATATTGCCTTGGGGAAACTGTGCGATATTTTTAAGGAAACCCAGTTTCTCCCTAAACAAAGGTCTATCTTTTTAACAACTTTCTTCCTGGGGTGTTGTATGGCTGAGTCATAGAATATAACCATCTCCAAGGTTGAGCATCGCCCACAGGGTGGTGAAGAGACATATGATCAGAATGACTAGATGACAAATACATTGCCAATAAAGAATTATATGAGATGCAGTCTAAAGGATGCCATCAGAGAAATGTATGATCAGAAAACGTGGGTTTGTCTTGTGACAAAAGCAAGGCATAACTGATGTCTATTTGGCTTGTTCCACTGGTATCCACAAAATATCAAGAAAGCTGTAAGAAAGGCCTTAGGAACTCAGGTGGAGAATTTATAAGGTGTGGAGAAGTGGCACAGGATGGAGTGCAATCTATGTCCATGGAGGAAGTAACTACATTTTGATCAGAAATCAGATGTTCATCTGGTCAGTGGATCAGAGACCTATTTAAACACTTAGGTAACATTGCTGTATTCTATTAAGCAATACTTGAGTATTTCTGCCTCTATATTCATTAGGGAAATTGGTCTGTAATCATTCCAATATTCCAGGTTTTAAGATCAATACCATACTGGTCTCACCAAGAGTATTGGGGCAGCATCCCATGCTTCTCTACATGTATGAGTATTTGTTCTTAGACCATTTGAAACCATTCAGCTATGATTCCATCTAGGCCACAGGATTTTCTGTGAAACAATTCTTCGATGACTCCTCTCTTTTATTTCTTAAGCAGAGATTAATAATTGAAATGATTAATTTCCTCTTGTAAGATCAACTTTGATACTTTATATTTTTATAGATAATCATCTATTTCCTTTGAATTCCCTCATATCAGAACATAACTACAAGCACTATTTCCTAATAAAGCCCTTCATTTCTTTCGTGTTCTTGCAATACCTTTTATCTTTTTCTTTAAAATTTCACTGATTTGCATTTTCTCTCATCTTTTAAAAATTTAATTTGCTAATGGCTGCCAATTAAATGTCTTTTTTTTTTTTTTGGTGAGGCAATCGGGGTTGAGTGACTTGCCCAGGGTCACACAGCTAGTTAAGTGTCATGTGTCAGAGACTGGATTTGAACTCACATCCTCCTGACTCCAAGGTCAGAGCTCTATCCATTGCGCCACCTAGCTGCTCCTAATTAAATGCTTTTCAAAAAAATTAACTGATCAATTCAACTGTTCTCCTTTCTAGATTTCCCCTCAACTTCATGATCTCCTTACCCTCATTTCCCTGCATCGAAGTACTTAGCATAGCATGGGGCAGGCCAGGCCAGGCCAATTATAAACTCCAATGGCTCCCTATTGGCCCCAGGAACAAATACTAAACGTTCTATTGATCATTCAAAGCCCTCCTAATCCAGCCGCCCTCCTGCCTTTCCAGTGTTCTCATACCTCATTCCCAGACTCTTCCATCCAGTGACACAGGCCTTCTGGCTGTTCTATGAACAAGCCAGCCCATCTCTTGACTCAAGGCATTCTCTCTGGCTGCCCCCCCCCCTTACCTAGAATGCTCTTCCTCCTCCACTCCAACCACTGACTTCCCTGGCTTCCTTTAAGTCCCAAAAAAATCCCACCTTCTACAGGAAGCTTTCTCTAACCTCTCTTAATTCTAGTGCCTTCTCTCAGCTAATTATCTCCTCTTTACCTTGTATAGAGCTCATCATCTGTATATAGTTGTTTGCATGTTGTCTCTCCTGTCAGACTTATATTTAAGCCCCTTGGGGGCAGAGACCATCTTTTGCCTTTTTTTGTATCCCCAGCACTCGGCAAAGTGCCTGGTATGTAGCAGTTGCTCAATAAATGTTTACTGAATTGAAATTAATTGGTTCCCCAACCTATACTAGATCCATACTGGCTAAGGTATCCAGTCCAAATTTGGCTGACTGGCTTTCAAGAGCCTGCATGATTGGACCCCGAGTGACCAATGCCCCTTCATTTGCCACTAAACTCTCCCCAGCCTATTTGTCCCATCAGGCCAGTCTCACTACTGTCACCCTGACATGCCATGCTCACCCTCATCTTCTCCTCTTTTTGTCTTCCTGGTCCCTTCCACCCGTAATACCTCACCCTTCTCCCTTCCTCTCCCCAATCTAATTCTATCCATCCAAAAAAGTCAAGTTCCTGTCCCATTTCTTCCACAAGGCCTTCTCAAAGACTATTCCTATCTCCAAAGTGTGTCCTCTGCACTTTCAGACCTGATCATGGTGGCATTCTGCTGAAAAGTCCACCACGGCACTTACCAAGGTTCTCACTCCTTGGCCTGCCATTAAAGGCCCTCTACAATTGAACACCAACCCCTCTCTGCCCCAGTCTGCCACACTGCTCCTCTTCAGGCAACCCCGACTCTGTCTCACGTCCAGGATTCGAACCTGCTCCTTCCCTTAGCTCTATTTGCTGATCCATCCCAGAAAGTTGAACTCAATGTCAAAAACCAAAAAAAAAGTGGGAATGCCCATGGTGTGTATGGGTGACCACGAAGAGCGCCTGGACTGGTTGGAACAAGCAGTCTAAGAGAAGAGCAACAGAGAATGGTGGCAGGGTAACAGAGCCAGGTCAGCGAGGGTCTTGAAAGGTAGACCTTTAAGGGCACAGAACAACATCAGTGAGAAGGACAACAAGGACCATGTTAGCCAATATATGCAGAGACTTTTATGGCTTCCATCAAACTTTTTAGGTCATTCAATCTGCTTCACTCTGTAGTCTTATGAGGTAGGCAGTGCTAAGAAGAATTAACAGCCATTCTACAGTTAAAGAAACCAAGGCTTGGAGAAGCTGAGTGACCAAGTTCACAAAACTAAGTAGTGGCAGCAGGGATTTTGAAGTCAGGTATCCAGCATTCTTTCCGCTACATCCCAGCTGCCTCACCAAAAGATCTTCAATAAATGTTTGCTGAACGTGCACTTGAATGTACTTGTAATTCCCCCCATATATATAACACTTCATTTTTTTCTAACTCTATTACACACGTTCATTTTGGCCCCCCTCTGAGACCGTTAAGTGCCCAATATGTTAGCGTTGACGCCATGGTCAAGAAGTCAGGGGACAGATCTGGAAGTGGGGAATTCAGGACAAGGCCAGAAGAAAAGATTCCTAAGGGGAGCCTGGCCAGCTGGTGGAAACCACAGGGCCAAAAACAACACTCATCATGGCTTCAGAGACTGATTGCAGGGTATGCCCTCATCCTTTGGTAAAGAAGCAAGGGATAAAGTGTGAAAAAGGAGACATGACCAATGTGTTCATTTGTTTGGTTCCACCATACTTATTTGTTACAGAGAATGACAGGGTCAATTCTATGAGAAATTCTAGGCTCAGTGGATAGAATGTCGGGCCTGGAATCAGGAAGACCCAAGTTCAAATACGGCCTCCTCAAACACTTTCTAACTGTGTGACCTTGAGCAAGTCACTTTACCTGTCTGCCTCAGTTTCGTCAACTACACAATGAGGATAATAATAACACCTACTTCCCAGGGCTGCTGTGAGGATCAAAGGAGATAATAATTGTAAAGTGCTTAGTACAGGGCCTGGCACAGATTAAGTGCTATTATTACTGTGGTTGGTAAAGATCTACAAGGGAAGCAATGATTTCAAAGAGCCAACCTGACTTCATCAAGAACAGGTAATACCAAACTAACCTCATTTTAACAGGATCATGAAATTAGTGGATGAAGGGAATGTTGTGGATACAGTTTTCCTAGATTTTAGCAGGTTTTTTTTTCCCAATGAAATATACTATTATTATGGAGAAGGCAGAGGAGTGAACCAGATGCTAGTAAAGTGAGCTGCCTTCACACGTGGTTAGAGGGTTGCACTCCAAGAAAGCACAGTTGTTAATGGGTCACTGCCAATGTGGCAGGAGGTCTCTATTGCAGCGGTCCAGGATCTCTGCAGCTTAACGTTTTGCTCAATGATTAGGAGAAAGGCAATCAATGGAAGGCAGAGTCATCAAGTCTGAAGATGACATGTCACTAGGGACACAGAGCAGGGCTGAATTTAATAAGATGAAATTCAATAGGGATGAACAGGACATCTTCTGCTTGGGTACAAAAACCCCAACTCCACCACTACAAGATGGGGGAGGCATGGTTAGGCAGAAGTTTGTCTGCAAACCTTCTGAGGGCTTCAATGGACTGTAAGCTCAACGTGTCAATCGTGTGTGTTGGCACAGCCAAAAAAGCTAACGCTGTCTGGAGCTGCCCTGAGAGGGCCAGAGCGTCTGGGAAAAGGGAGGTGATGATCCCACTGTACTATCCCCTCCCCCGGAGTACTGAGATCTGTGTTGGGCACGAGGCTGAAGCAGAAGAAAATGATGAAAGGCCTTGAGTACACGTGGCATTCAATGGTTTGAGCGTTAGTTTGTATCTTGTATCAAAACAAAATGTCTCAAAAACTTTTTTATTGTTTTTTGTTTGTTTGCTTGTTTTTCAAGGCAATTGGGGTTAAGTGACTTGCCCAGGGTCACACAGCTAGTGGGTATCATGTGTCTGAGGCCAGATTTAAATTCAGGACCTCCTCACTCCAAGGCTGGAGCTCTATCCACTGTGCCACCTAGCTGCCCCTCAAAAACTTTTTTAAAAACAAAATCTGACTTAATTTTAAAAACCACTTAACTGGGACTGACTGAAGTGATGGGCTAAGATACTGTAGGTAGGTAACAAGCTTTCAAGGAGTAAGGAAAGGATGATTAATAGAGAGAAAACTGCTGAGCTCAGGAGTGGAGAGACAACAACCAGGGCTGGGGAAAAGGGCTCATCTCATGCTCTCCAAACCAGAGCTGGTCCAGACCAAAGGTGTGTCTGGAGCAGGCTCATTCTGGAAAGTGTCTGAGGTGCCCACCCAGCTGCCATTCACCCGGCACTGCTCCCTGACTCACCTGCCCAGGTGGCCTGGTCCTCTCCACGTGCCCCACCTTGAAGGTCTGTGATCCATGGCATTGCCCCTTGTTCCAGCTTGGAAATCACATCGGGCTTGGAGATAGGAATCCCTGCTCAAAGGGAAAGGTAGACAGACACGATGATTTGGGCTCAGGACACAGACTTATCCCCTCCCTTCAAGCACAATTCCATGATGGGTAGGAGGCAAAAGGGAAACACCCACTGACATGGGTTACAATGAGGAGGGGCTGGGGAACCATCCAAAAGGTATACGGATGTGAAGCGAGAGTGGTGAAACCGAGGGGGAATCGGTGCCATATCTACAAGTTGGGCTGGGCACAGAACACTTAGCTGCATTTGCCTTTGACTTCCTCAGAGCAGGTAAACGAGTCAGGGATCAGCACTAGGGCACTGGGAATGGAACAGACTGGAAGACTGGGAGGCTGGAGACAGTCAATAGGGTTAGCTGCTGATTTCAGCCCCTGCAAAGACCAAACCTGTCACCTGGGGACAGGACCCAAAGGGGTTGGGAACCTATACATTCTGTGCTCAACTGAGGCTAACTTGATGGCTTTTCAGAGTCAAAAGTGATCAAAGGGAGAGAAGAACTTTTGCATGAGAACAGACCATGTGGTACATCTTCTTTGTCAGAAAGGTGAACATGGAAATCCACTATTTCTGTGACACTTCAAAAGATCTCAGATTTCATCTATGTGGACACTCCTTCCACCAACACAGAGTATCCCCTCCACAACTTGGGTTTCTGGAATGGCTGGGGCAAAACAGATTAACCACGGGGCAGCCAGCTTCCTCCAAATTTAGCTAGGCTGGCCTCCTAATGACAGTCTGCCCCTGGGCCTCTACTCTGGCCTTTCCGGAGAAGCAGCCTTCCTTAGAGAACCTGGGTTACTTCTGTGCCATGAGGCAGCACTGGAATCAGGTCTTAATGGAGGCTGAAGAACAATATAAGTTAGAAAATAACAAAGGGTACAGAGAGTTAATACGGAAGGCTTCATTTTTAGCAGAAACTATAAACTTCTTTTAAAAAGTTTAGAGGTGGCGTGGTGGCTAGAGAGCTGGACTTGGAGTCAGGAAGACTTGAGTTTGAACCTTAACATTAGCTGGGTGTGTGACCCTGGGCAAGTCACTTAACCTGACTGCCTCAGTCTTCTCATCTGTAAAATAGAGACAGTAATAGCATCTACCACAAAGGGTTGCTATAAGGGGACCAAAGGAGATATCATGTAATACGCTTTGCAGACCTGAAAGAGCTATAGAAATGTTAACTGCTTTCTTTCTTTTTAATTCCAGATGCATTGTTTTTTGTTATAAAAAACATTTTTTTAATTTATATAATCAAATCCATTCATTTTTTCTCCTGACATCTTTATTAAATTGCTAAAATTTTTCCTCTCCATAATTAGTAAAGCAATATTTATTTTTAAACTGCCAATAATTTTTAAAAATATTTTGATCACTGATCCATTTGGAATTGATTATAGAGCATGGCACCAGAAGTATGGCCAATGCCAATGTCACCACACCGCTTTCAGGTGCCACAGCTCCTTCCCTGATGTTGACTGGATAATTTGGGTTCTAATTGCGGATGATTCATTCTAACCAATCTTTTGAAAAACTCCACTACCAGACAGCTTGCTAACTACTGCTGTGCAGCATAACTGGCAGTAACTGACACTTACATAGTACTTTTTTTTTGCCAAGGGCTTTACATATGTTGTCACCTGAGACTCATATTCACGCTAGGAAGTAGATTCTATAGGCATGATCTCCACTTTACAGATGAGAAGACTGAGGCTCAGAAACGTTAAGTGACTTGTCCACGTAGGGTTACATGGCTGGGGAGCGTCAGAGAGAAGATCTATTGCCTGCCCCACCACTCTGGGGGAGGTCCAGCAGTGCAGGGGCCCCACTTCCCCACATAATGTCCCTGGATACTCTTTCCAGTGGTTGCTTGTCTTTAAAATGCAAACAGCATTGGTCCTGCCACAGCTCTGTAACATTTGATGATATGGAAATGGAAACTGCCTACTTCACATCTATTAACCAATCTAGAAGCCCAGGATAGCTTCTGTGTCGGGAAAGAAACAGCTCTTACCGAGCGAGGTAACATTCATGTAATTCTCCAGCATCACGTCCCGGTATAGGGTCCTCTGACCAGGGTGTAATCGATCCCATTCCTCCTCAGTGAAATACACTGCCACATCCTCAAATGTCACCACCTCCTAAAACATCAAAGACAACCCCCACCATGACCCCACGGGAAGGGCAAAGGCAGGGCATTAGAGACCAGAGAGGGACGTGCAGCTGAGTACAAGTGGCAGCGTTAAGCTGTGCCAGAAAAGGCAACAGACACAGGAGGCCTGTGCCCCCTAGCTTTTCTCTGCTGTATGGTCTCAGTCAAGTCATTCAACCTGCCTGGACCTCATGTGCAAAACAGGGATAACCATTTGTAAAGGCCCATTCCCAAAATAATGATAATCAATGGTATTACTTTGTCCAGGTTGTTGGGAGAGGGGACTGAGACTCAGGCCCCTAGAAGGGACATGAGAGATGGAGGCAAACTGGAAAACTGAGGAAGGACAGAGGAAGCCACAATTCACCTGAGACCTGAGTGTCACGATTGGAGCTGCCATCTCTTTGTCTCCTGGGCCCTCCTGGGCAGGGTGGGAAAGAAAACTAGAACTGTGAGAAGAGAAAAGAGCCAAGAGTTAGATCAGTCCAGCCCTACGGTTCCCTGGTGAGTCCTGGAAGCCCCTTCCGCCACCAAAGGGTTCTGGGAAACCAAGGAAGAGACCCCTCCCAGCACCCCTTTACATGTTCTGACAGGTGTTACTACTGGTGTGCCCATGACATTCTTCTCGTGGGGAACACAGGAGCAGATAAGTACAGAGGACCACTAGAAGCCACCAGAAAGGGCTTCGTATGCCTCTGCCAGAGGGGTCAGGATCAGTGAAGGAGCCCTTCCTAGAATCTTTGCTCAACACCCAGCTTTGTAAAAGGAGCAATGGTCAGCCCTCCACAACCTGGCACACACTTGTTTGCAGCATGTAGCTGAAGCTAACCCAGTGAGGCCTGTGGAACCTGCCTCAGACTTCTCTACGGGTGGTGGATGGAGAAGGGAATAGTGCTGTCAGCTGCAGACCAGAGGAGGAAGGACAGAATACCCAGAGCTGGATCCTCACCAAACATCAGGCAGCCAGATGTTAGAGTCCCAGGAGAGAAATATTCAACTGCCCCCATTCCCAGACAGGACAACAGAATGGGCCAGGTCACAGGATCTGAAGTGACCTGGAGAAGTAGCAGGGCTGGCCTTGGACAAAAATCTGAGAGTAGCTAAAAACTGGGCTTTCAGACCCTCCCATCTCTACCCTCCACCCTCTTTGTTATATCCTCATAGGATCTAAGAGCTGGAGCTAGAAGGGACCTCAATGGCCATCTACTCCAGCTCCTTCATTTTACAGAGGAAGCAAAGTGACTTGCCCAAGGTCACACAGTTACGAAGCATCAGAGGTAGGATCTGAACCTGGGTCCTTTGACTCCAGAGCCAGTACTCTTTCCACTTAAGGTCAAACTAGTTTATCTTCCCCAGGTGACTATTATTATGAATAGTAATAATGACAGCAGTGCACATTTACATGGCACTTAAGATGTACAAAGCACTTTACAAATATAATCTCACTTGATCCTCACCAAGTCAGGTGCTGTTATTCTCCCCATTCTACATATAAGGAACGTAAAGCAGACAGAGATTAAGTGACCTGCCCAGGGTTGTTCACACAGCCAGTAGTAAGTGTCTGAAGCAGGATCTGAACTCAGGTTTCCTCTCTCCACTGCACTTCATGTTCCTGAGAGGGCAGACTATTTCATCTCTCTCTTTCAGTCCCCAGTGCCTAACACATAGTAGGCACTTAATGCCATTGTGATCCAATCTGCCACTCAATAAAGGGGAGAGGAGACAACTCTCACTTCAGAGGTGAAGGAACAATTCCTGTGTTATGGAGCTGTCCAGCTTCTGGTCAGTGCCAGTTTATAACATCCAGGAACAGGGTCCACTTGTCAGCTTCCACAGGTTACTGCCTAGAGCAAGGCCTTTTGGGTAACATGAAAGGGGGGGGCCTAAGTGGAAATCAGTTTATTTTGGAACATGCAGAAAGAGAACAGGCCCTCCCTAATAACTTGGCTTGGTGGTCTGGACTTGAGATCTCAGGTGGTTTTGTCAAAATCTAAACTTTTCCTCATTTCTCCAATATGTCAAGGTGGCTCTTACCTTTCTGACACTTGCTTCTCAAGTTCAACACCATAAGGGCCTTCTAGTTCAGCTTGATCAATTCTCTCATTTGGGGTCATCTGAGACAATGCTTTGAGTGGGCTCTTCTTCTTATAATGACTATTACCTCCTTAACTCCAAAATGTAAGATTTACTCAAGCTGAAAAGCCTTGGCAAAGTCCCATGGACCTATTTCCCCTTTATTAAAAGAAAACTGAAAATGTGTATACAACATTTTCTGTATTGCAGATGGGATAAAGTTACCCTGCTGATTTATAAACAAAAACCTGATTAATTAGAAGACTGTTTGGTGTACTTATTCAGACAATTTTAAATGTCTTTATTATAGTTTAAAATAGAGCCATAAGGTCAAACCTTAGGTTATACATTGGTTTAGCTCTTGGTTTTCAGTAGTTCATGAGAACCAGGAACAAACTTGAGTACAACAGGCTGTTGAGATTATAGCAAAACGTAAAGCGATTCTTCCTGGCCCCCATAACCACTCCCCATGAAAGAAAAGGGATGTTAAAAAAAAGATTAATTTTAAAAATTTTTTAAAGGAAAAAGACTAGAGTAAAACAATTTTCTGCACTTGGCATCCTATATGGGGTCAAGATGGAACAAGACAATATTCAATTTCAGAAGACACAAATACCTGACAAATAAATTGTCTCAGAATTAGGGCGACAATAAGGCTATAGGGGTGTGGGCTGCAATGGTAGCTTAAAAGCTGCCAGGCACTTTGATCAGTGGGGTGAGTAAATTCTGGGCACTATAAGGGAAGATATGTAAATGGCTTTGAAATATTAAACTAAACCAAACCCAACATCTGTTCTTTTAGATTAGAGATAAGTTTCCTGTTTTCACAGAGACAAGGAGAGTGGTTTCTTCTCTCTTTTCCCTACTTGTCCCTAAATCACTAATGCTACCTCTGTTCCCAACCTTCATCAGGGCTTCACATTTGAAAGGCTTTTACCAAATACAGAAACACAGACCCTCATAACCAGAAGAGATCTCAGAGACCAGCTTAGTCTAATTCCTTCATTTTACAGAGGGGGAAACTGAGGCCTAGGGAGATTGAATCACTTGCCCAAGGTGACACACAGTATCATAGCTCTAGGGTTAGACAGGGCCTAAGAGGCCAGCTAATCCGACCCCTTTATTTTACACAGTTGAGGCCTAAAGTGAGGAAGTGACTTGCTCAAGGTTCCTAATGGGGTCACAGATCTAAAGCTGGAAGGGGTGACCTCAGAGACTATCTAGTCTAACCCCCTCATTTTACAGAGGAGGAAACTGAAGCCCAGAGAAAGGACGTGACTTGCCCAAGGTCACACCTAGGATCCTAGATCCAAAGCTGGAAAGGCCCTCAAAGGCCATATAGTCTAACCCTTTCATTTTACAGAGGGGGAAACTAAGGCCCTGGGAGGAGGAGTGATTTGCTCAAGGTCACACAGGGCATCGGTGACAGAGGAAGGACTCGCACCCACGCCTCGTGCCGCCTGAGCCCAGTGCCAGCACACAGTAGGCGCCTGCTGCCTGCCTGGTTGCCAGGGGGGGCCGTTACCAGGCAAGATATGGGACAAAAGGAGGGGGGCCGCTGGTGACGATTACATGGCCCCCGGCCGGGGTAAGGGAACAGGAAGAGTGGGAGGGAGGGAGGGAAGGAGGAAGGGGCGGGGAAGGAGGAAGGGAAGAGGGGGGGAGGAAGGAAGGAAGGAAAGAAAGAGAAAAAGAGGAAGGCAGAGGCAGCGAGCCCGCCCAGCTGCACTCACCTGCGACCGGCCTGAGCCGACGGACGATGGCGGGGCCGGAAGTGCGGCCCCACCCCCAAGCGACCGCCCCCGTGGGCTGCGGAGGCCGGCCTGCCACTTCCGCTGCCTCTCTAGGACGCCTCGGAGGTCTCCGAGTCTCGGTCGTCGTTCCCCTCGCGCACCTGGCCCCACTGGAGGCTCCTTTGCGGAAGTGGGGGACAGTGGGTGCGGAATGCGGCATACATTGCCAAGACGTTTTGTATGGAATATTGCATATGTCCCGGTTCTCCTCCTACCTATCTGACCGCTCCTTCTCTCTCTCCTTTGCTGGATCCTCCTCCAGATCATGCCCTCTAACCCTAGGTATCCCTCTGGATGTTTCTACCCTCTTCTCCCTCTGTGCTACTTCACTTGGTGATGTCATCAGCTCCTGTGGATTTAACAAGGATCTCTATGCTGATCCTGCCCCCAAACTCTTTGCTGACCTTCAGTCTCACATCTCCAACTGCCTTTCAAACATCTCAACCTAGACATCCCAAACTGAACTCATTATCGTATCCGCTGACCCCAACCTCTCCCTTGCCTGTTACTATAGAAAGCAGCTCTATCCTCCCAGTCCTCAGGCTCACAACCCTGGATTCCTCACTGTCTCTCATCTCCCCCCCTCCCCCCCTCAAATCTGTTGCCAAGGTCTATCAATTTCACCTTTGTAACTCCTCTTGAATATTCTCCCTTTTCTCCTGGGACAGTCACACCTGGATTATCACAATAGCCTCATGGGGGCTCTGCCTGCCTCGAGTCTCCCTCCGCTCCAAGCCATTCTCCATTCAGCCACCAAAATGACTTTCCTAAAGTGCAGGTCTGATCACATGCATGATCAATAAACTCCAGGGGCTCCCCATTGCCTCCAGGAGCAGACACAACATGCTGTGTTTGGCATTCAAAGCCCTTCATCACCTAGCCCCCTCCTACCTGTCCAGTCTTCTTACACCTTACTCTACCATACACTCTTTAACCAGTGACATGGGCCTCCTTCCTACTGTACAAACAAAACACTCCATCTCTTTCCTCTCGGCGTGTCCCTCATGCCTAAAATGTTCTCCCTCCTCTGCTCTGGCTACTGACCACCCTGGCATCCTTTAAGTCCCAATTAAAATCCTACCTCCTACAGGAAGCCTTCCCCCAACCCTTCTGAATCTCTCGTTAATTATTTCCTATTTATCCTGTATATAGCTTGTTTGTATATTGTCTGTTGTCTCTCCCATTAGACTCTGAGCTCAAGGGCAGATACTGTCTTTTGCCTCTCTTTGTATCCTCAGTGCTTAGCACAGTGCCTAGCACATAGTAAACACTTAATAAATGTTTATCGATTGGTTGGTTTTTGCATTTTCCTTTTCAATCTCTGTTACAAAGGATGACTCTCTGGGTAGGAGGGGGAGGTATATAGTCAGAAAGGAATATGATGCAAAGGAAAAAAACCATTTTTTTAAAAAAAAACCAGAAAGAGTAAAAGATAGGAGATCTTTTAGATAGTGTGAGACTATCGATATGGAATATTGAACACAACTTTCATGCTGGATGGTTTTTCCTCTTTCTTTGGTAGATGGGATGGCTTTTCCACGAGCCCAGCAAAATCGAAGTTTATCATTGGTAGCAATCTCTGCCAAGTTAACGGGAGTTAGGTGGTATGACAAGTTTCTCCTGAGTTGTATTTCTGATGATTAGATAGTTTAAACAGTTTTCCAGGTAGTTATTTATGATTCATTTCTTCTTTCGATTACTGAACCTTCAAAACTTTTGGCCTCTGGGGAAGAACTTCTTAGGGCAACACATTTCCCTCCTGGGGGTTCCTTTCCCTTCTCTTCTGGGTACATTAATTTTTGCTGTGCAAACCCTTTTTATATTTACTAATCAAATTCACCTTTTTTGTCTCTTATAATTTCTTCTATTTGACACAGATAAGAATTTCGATTTTTTGTGACATCAAAAGCTATTATTATTGTTCTGGTTGATTCACTTGGTATTTATTGTGGTATGCTGTGTGAGATGTCCTAAATGCTATCTATTCTGACTCAAGAGTATGGTCTGAGGAGAAACTGAATAGGTGAAGAATGCCCAGGGTCCAGAATACAGCACACAGCTGGACCTACCCGCCTATCTCTCTATCAATACGTTAGATATTGGAAAGATATTACAAATGAACTGGGAGTTCGGCCCAGATTTGAAGAGGAGTCATCTTTGGGAAAGGGCAGAATGTTTTAATGATGCCAAGATTTTCCCTGCTAAAAGGGCCATCTTTTTAAAAACTGATCGATGAAGCGACTTGTCAAGGCAGCAAAGAAATGCTGAATCCGGGACCAACCTCCTTGTTTCACAGAAAAAGACACTGAAGCCCAAGGAGGGGAAATGACTGGCCTAAGATCACATAGGCAGAGGCAGGATTTGAACCCAGGCCCTCCAAGACCATATCCAGCATTCTTTTTACTGTATTGTCCATATGTTTTTATTTGTCTTCTGATTCCAAGACCAGTGCTTTTTTTTTCTTTTTATAAAAACATTTTATTGATGCTTTTTTTTTCTTCCCCACATGGTCATTTCCTAATATCAACCCCCCACAGTGGCATAGTAGATAAAGTGCTGGACTTGGGAGTCAAGGAATCCTGCATTCAAATCACGCCTCTGACATTTACTAGCTGTGTAAACCCCAGGCAAGTCACTTCACTATCTTGGACCTCAGTTTCCTCATCTATAAAATGAAACACAATGCTTGGCACATAATAGGTACTTAATAAGTCCTGATGAACGACCTCTGAAGTTCTTTCCAACTTTAGATCTGGGATCCTATTGTGTGACCTTGGGCAAGTAATTTCACTTCCCTGGGCCTGAATTTCCTCCTCTTTCTTCCTCTCATCCCCCTTTATTTTTTCCTCTGCAAATTGGAGGATTGGACTAGATGGCCTTCAAGGTCTCTTATGGCTCATAATCCTTAGAACAAAGTTGTAAATTAAGGAAAACCAGGTGACACATTCCCATCATTCACTTCACACCTAGCTTCTGGCCCTCTGAATCAGAGCTTATGAATTCCAAGAGTGGTCATCGCTGGAAAGGTGCCAAAGGAGGTGGGGGACCCCTCGAGGAAAAGGTGGAAAGTGTGAACCAAGGCACTTTGGTGGATGAGGGGAAACTTGTTCCAAAAACCAAGACGGATGCTCTGGGCTGGGGAGGGACAAGGCCAAGCTGGGTTGGAATGAAGGGAAAAGGTGGGAGGAAAAAAAGGATCCCTCCCAAGGCAGCAGTTGTGAATGGGGGTGATTAGGGAAGAGACTAGGAAGTAAGGTGAGGGGACAAATCAGCACAGAGTTAATGAAGTGTGTAGAATTAGTCTGAAGAATGAGTGTTGGCGAAACATTAATTAAGTTTTGCTGGGGTGTTCTAGAGCCAGCTACAAAACAGGGCTCGATTTATTGTTTTGTTGATTGTCTAGACTTAAGAAAGTGATGGAGAAAACTGTTGGGAGTATGTTGTTCGGAGGAGAGCTGGTTGTTAAATATCAGCATACTATTTGTTTGATACCATCATTATAGGCACCTGGCAAATTTACCTCAGGTGTTATAGATTGGGTAACAAGGTTCCCATTGGGGAGAGAAGGCCTGTCAGATTGTGAGCCAGGGTCCTTGGATAAGGGACAGAAGAACATGGCACGATGGAAAGAATGGTGGATTTATGAGCAAGAGAATCTGAGTCCTATAAAGGACCTATTTGTACAAAAATATTTCTAGCAGCTCTTTTTGTGGTGGCAAAGAATTGCAAATTGAGAGGATGCCTATCCATTGGGGAATGGCTGAGCAAGTTGTAGCCTATGATTGGAATGGAATACAATTGTGCTACAAGAAATGATGAGCAGGATGCTTTCAGAAAAACCTGACAAGACTTATATGAACTGATGTAAAATGAAGTGAGCGGAACACTGTAGCCAGTAACAACAATATTGTACAATACTCAACTATGAATGACTTAGCCATTCTCAGCAATACAGTGATCTAAGACAATCCCAAAGAACTCATGATGAAGAATGCTATTCACCTCCAGAGACAGAACTGATGGGGTCTGAATGCAGGTTGAAGAATACTATTTTTTCATTTTCTGTATTTTTTCTCATTTTTTTCCTCTTTGGGTGTGTGTCTTCTTTCATAACATGACTAATATGAAAATGTTTTGCATGATTGAACATGTATAACCCATGCCAAATTGTTTACTATCTCAGAAAGGGGGGAGGTGAGAGGGAGGGAAAAAATTTGCAACTCATCATTTAAAAAAAAATGAATGTTAAAAATTGTCTATATGTAATTGGGGAAAAAATAAATTGTTATTTAAAAAATAGAGAGAAATGATGAGCAGGATGCTTTCAGAAAAACCTGGGAAGATTTATATGAATTTATGCAAACTGAAGTGAGCAGAACCAGGAGAACATTGTACATAATAACAGCAATACTGTAAGATGATCAACTGTGAATGACTTAGCTATTCTCTGCAATATCTAAGACATTTTCAAAGGACTCATGATGAAAAATCCTATCCACCTCCAGAGAAAGAACTGATGGAGTCTGAATGCAGATTGAAGCATACTTATTTTTAACTTTTTTTACTGGTGGTTTTTTTTTGAGGGAGGGACATAGCTAATATGGAAATGTTTTACATAATTTCACATGTATAATGGCTATCATACTGTTTGCTTTCTCAGTGAGTGGAAGAGGGGTTGAGAGAATTTGGAACTCAAATTTTATTTTAAAAAATGTTTTAAATAAACAAATAATTGTGGTGGTGGGTTTTTTTTAAGTGCAGAAAAAAAATTCAAAAACATGGGGCAGTGTGGAAAGTACTGGTTCTGGAGTCAGAGGACCTAGAGTCAAATCTCAGGTCAATTCTATCTTTGTGACCTTAGATAAGTCCCTTCCCCTTGCTGGGCCTCAGTTTCCTCCTCTGTAAAATGAGGTGGGGAATATATAGCCCCTCAGTTTCCTTCCATCTTCTCATCCAGGATCTTATGATCTCAGATGAAAGCTTCCTGGCAGAAACCCAACCTAGAAACATCAATCATTGCTCCAAGAAGGATTAGTCCAATAGCTTTGTT